GAGGGATTATTTAACCTCCCTAAGCCTCCATCTCCCAGTTTATAAGTGATAAAAATATTATAACGACCATGATAAAAATAAATTAAACAGTACAAAGGAGTATACAGGAGGAAATCACATTTTAAAATTTTCGTGTCTTTATCTTACAGCCTCTCCATTCTCGTCTCTGTGGATCGTCATTATTAGCTCGTGTGTGCGCTCTTCCGAAGTTATCCAGTGTGGATCCAAGTAAACATCGCTCTTTAAAAAGTACATATGGCGGCAGATGCTACCCATAGTTCTGATATACATTTTTTCTTGCTCAATTCTAAATCTTACAGATTGTTCCATATCAACACATACAGATCTACTTTCGTGGCTTTTTCTGAAACTTGCTCATCCTGCTTTTCTTCCGAGGAAAGGGAAAGTCATTTCCACCTTGACACTGCAGGTCACTATCTTTCCTTCCTGCTAATTACATGACAATGTACCAGGACATGGACAGATAAGGCATTTTTGACTTTCAGATAATCGTTCTTTACAATTATTCTAGCTGGACCTACAAAGACCAGATAAGGAAAGGCATTCAGCCTCCTGAGATTCTAACAGAAACAATGGTAGATATTTTCAATCAAACAGTTGTGAAATCTTGGTTTGAAACGTACCTTGTTTTTCAGAGCTATTTGAAAAGTCGCTTACGTTTCTGATCTCACACGCTATTTACTAGAGCTAATGTTATATTTACTTAAAGGCAGCTGGATATAGTGGATTTGCTGTATGTAGTGGATTTTCCCAAGCTACTATTCATATAACCTAGCCTCTTGTACATATCTTAGAGCCAGTGAATAATAAATCTGGCAAATACCTCACAGCCTTCACATCCAAACTTTGCTGTGATACAGGAACTGAGAAACTTATTTTAAATCAGCTCTTACATATGCTCTTCTCCCCCTTGGCCCACCCATGGGTGATTAAAAGTCCCGATTCTGGACAACACGGTCTCTCCTTCTGGGCCTGACCTAGGCTGAGTGGCACCTGTCTCCCTGTCACATCACACATGCCTTCTGACCCACACACCTGAGCTTGAAGCTTCCACTTGGTCTGTATGATCTCCCCTCCTTCAGAGTCAAACCAAAAAACACTTAAATAGGAAGGAGCTTTCTTAACACATGAGACAATGACATTTAATATTTCATATCACTCAAATCCATCCACACCTAGGGAAACGATGAACTAAATTACAGCTTTGTTGCTTTATGAGGGGAGGTTTAATCCATGTGGTCAATTACCCAATGTTTGTCCTTGGGCTCTTTGAAACTTAGATTTCCCATAAATAAGATGGGAATAAGCCCATTGTATGGATAATATCACAGCTTAATGATGCAAGAAATGTAAAGATGATTATCATACTGCTGGGCACATAATGAATAATCCATAAATAGCCAGCTCGTCTAATGGGAATCTGAGAGTGTACTGGGAGATGGTTTCCCCCACTATTTCTGGGTGGAGCTGTCTTGTGGGTGGTGACTTGAAATGATACTGAAGCCTGTCTTCCTCCCTGCTTGTGGTGAGCCATCCGCTGCTCCAAATCCACTCCTCAGTTTCCAGCTGCTCGGTGCCTGAGGGCTGACCTCTAACTCTAATGCCCACTCCCTTTGCCCTTTAACTTCTGGTTGGGCTCAGTGGACCTGGGAATTCTTGCGACAATAATGAGTTGGATCAAGTCACCGACATTCACCAGAAGGATATTCAGCTGTGTGCACAATTTTCTTGCTACCAAGTTAAGAAAAGAAAGGAAAAAGGAAGAGAAAATGGCCTTTGGGGAACACCTCTTGTGAACTTGACACTTTCCCTGTGACTTGTCTCATGCAGTCCTCAACCTGTCCAGTGGAAAATTTGTTCTTTCATTTTGCAAACGAGGAAACTGAGGTTCAGAGAGGTTAAGACATTTGTCCAAGCACACAAAGATAATTAGTGGAGAGCCAAGATCCAAATCCATTTCTGTTTGTCTCCAAGCCATGACCTTTCTTTATGTGCCAAATTTCAGTAGGCTTAGTGGTATGTAGTTAGAAATATGCCAACTAAATTGTCAGTGGTGATAATTTGCAGCTTACCTAAGAATGGAAAAAAATCAAGTAGAATTTTACCTGTCACTTGCTTATGTCAGCAGTATCAATTGTTCAGTGACGGTGATGGTGATGATGGTATGATGGTAGTAGCGATGATGGTGGTAGTGATGTGATGATGGTGATGGTGGCAGTGGTGATGATGGTGATGAGCATGTTGAGCAGCTGACATTAATTGAATGCCTCTATTCACCAGGCACAACTCTGTGCATCCTCCAAGGGCTACATTCTTAAATCCTCATAAGAACTATCTGTGTATAGACCCAAGTCTGCCTGTTCTACAGTGAGTGGACTGAGGAAACAAAAGTCTGTTAATTCAGCCAAGATCAACTAGCAGTGAGATTCAAAACCAGTTCTACCTTATTCTAGAATCATCCTATTTAATAGAACCTAATAATCCTTCTCAACATGGATGGATGGCTACGGAGTTCTCAGAAATTTCTTCCATTCGGTTGTTCTCATAGCTCTCACCCATGTGTGGGTCCTGGACAAGTACAGAGTGGCATTCGAGCGCATGAGTTTTCAATTTGTAAAAAGAAGAGGCACTGATGATTTAATTTCAGAGCATGACCCACTACAATTTTTAAAGTGAGTAAAATGAAAATTCAAGTTTAAAATATGTGCAATTTCCAAGATTATTGGAAACAAACTAGTGTGAAGGAGCTAGAGAGAAAAAGATGAATTGAATACTTCTCAATTCTAACTAATCCAGCCAAAAAGAAGAACAGGCTTTGTGCACAGGATACTTTTAGCTACATCTCTGTTTTGTATCTAACAAATGTAAACCCTGAAAATCCCAGGGTCTCATGCATTCACTTGTAAGGGAACGTACCTGTGTAATCCACGTCACAATATTATTAATAGAGTAGAACTAAAATGAGAGATATGGATGCGCTCATTGGTTAGGAAAAAAAGTCAGACAATAAAATTTGTGTACAAAATTTTATTATGTTTTCACATGCAGAGAAAAATTAATGTGTAAATGGATTACACAGAAGCTCATGAGGGCAGAGAAACAGTTGTGGTGCTTGATTGGCAGAAGAAGGTAACGAGTTTCCACTTAGTAAAAGTTTCTTCTTCTACTTGGCTCAAATCAAACTACCAACGTGTGCGATGAAGAGGATAGAAAGTAGAGGAATTTCTCGAGTCAGGCGATTAAAACTCTAGCACCGGCGTAAAGAACATCTACTTGTTCAGACAACTTGAGGGCTAGAGGTCTTAGCGTAACTTAAATTTCTAGTCTTAGACACAGGCTCAGAAAAGTGGGAGCGAGATCCTAAATGGGCTGAGATAGACTTCCTGCCATCCTTGAATGGGGGATCAGAAACATAATGAAGGTGGAGTATAGAATGAAAAATAAAATTAGTATTTTGGAAAAGTCTCCCAAACGTAAGTTTGTAAGCTGAGATCCAAACTCACCCTACAAGTGAAGCCTTGAAAGGGGCTCCTCATCCTGATGCGCTTGTCTGACATCAGTTTCATAAGGATCTGAAATACGCTCTCCTTGGTTGCTGTGCTACTGGGACCTCAAGCTCCAGAGCGAACGGGAGAGCTGATTATATGCTAGCAGGAGACAGAATGTGGCTGTCAACGAATTAAAAAGAACCTCTGCATACAACTAAATCCTTCTTTTCGTGGCCTTTTTTCTTTATGTGCGCTGGGCCATTTAGGAAGAATTTTGTTGATTGCCTTAAGCCTCAATGTCCCAAAGCCTCTTTGTGAAACATGCTCCAATGCAGGGTCAAATGAAACCAATATAACTGTGCTTTTATTATTGTTATGATTGCTGCTCCCGTAAAGCCAGCCAAAGTACCCCGTTCGTTATAATTATAGCAGAGTAATAAAAGAGCATCTTAAGTGAAGCAAACACTGTCACCCATCTAGGCTCAGATGGAATTTTATGTTGGAAATTAGCATTACCAGCATTCATCTCAAGTTGAGCTTTAGGAGAGCCAAACATTCAAAGACCAAGCACAAGCATTCATCATGGCAGAATTCTTTGTTCTCTTTCTGAAAACATATTTCTTTTCCCCAGGCTTGCAGTAAGCTTCCAAATTCTCACATTTTAATTAAAATTGTCCCTCAAAAGTCATTGCAGATGAGACCCTAATAGCCAAATTCACTGGTTCGGTGTCTCTACAATGATCAGAGGTTTCTAGACATGTTCACGGGCATCTCCCACACCCGGATTCTTAGGATTCGAGCTGAATGGCCGTAGTTGTGAGCAGAGGGAACCAAGGGCGGAGTATATTTCCTTGACTCTAGACTGCTCACGTTTTCATATTAATTTAGTAACACCCTTTCAGGAATAAACAAACACACTGCTATGATAAATAACTTTAACCTTTTACGTAGTAGTATTTCTTTGTCCCTGAAAAGCTGCTGCTAAATCAGTGACGTATCTACATTCTATTACCCTTTTCTGCACCTGAGAATCTTGGAAAGGATCTAATATTGAGTATCAGTGATGGGCCAGACACTGGTGATTGCACTCAGCCAGACAACAATCCTTGGATGTGGTATTTAATCTTCACTTCATAGATGAAGATTCTGAGGCCAAGAGGTGCTAATTAACTTTTCAGAATCAAACGTCTAGTGGATCATGGAGACGAAGACATTGAGGGGCTTAGAGAGTGACCCACGGGCCAGACTTCCACAGGAAATTGCTTATATTCCACACCTGAGATCCACGTGCAACCTTGGTTCCATTTCCTGGATCCCATGATCCATGCATCCTGAGAGAGCTTTCACAGTGACAGAATCAGCAAACCGCAAAGTTCTGGAACTCTCTCTTTGGAATTGACCCCCCCCCCCCCCCCGTGTGATGCCCATTCTGTGTTCCCTCTGTAACCCAGGTTCTTCTTTATGATTCACCATTTAACTAACTATGGGAAAAGAGCCAGTCCTTCTCAAAGCCTTGAGAAATGTAAACAAACCATAAATAATGGATTTATTAGTTTAATTACTCAGTTCTCCCACATGTTCAGTTGGGAAGCTGGGAAGCCAAATGAAGCTAATTGTAAATGTGTGGTTGACAAATACAAGGCCGGAATGGTCAGGTAATTGAAAGGCCAGGAGGAGGAGCAGTGGCTGACGTTGTTTCATTGCTCCTGGAGGAGGAAGGGAGAGGTATTGCTAGTGGGTAGCGAAGCCTCATTTGCAGCCCAGAAGCAGGTAGCTGCTATGGATAAATATTTTTAAGAAAACTCTCTTCCTACTTTCTGTCTATTCATAGAATTCTCTACTCTACTTCTGACACTTCTGATCACCAAATGTATGTGTTTTTTCCCCCACACCAAGCAGTTCTAGAATGTCTCACAGAACTCAGGAAACCAGTTTACCTACTAAATTACTGGTTTGTTATAAAATGATACAACTCAGGAACAGTCAAATGAAAGAGATGTATAGGGCAAAGTATGGGGCATGGGTACCAAGCTTCCATGCTCTCTCTAGGTTCACTATCCTTCCAGCACCTTCGCATGTGCACCAACCAGGAGCTCTCTGATCCCAGTCCTTGGGGTTTTTATGGAGACTTCATTCTGTAGGCATTGACTAAATCACTGGCCATTGGTGATTGATCCGACCCCTTGCCCCTCTCTCCTTTCTGGAGCTCAAGGGTTGGGACTGAAAATTCCAGCCCTCTAATCACGTGATTGGTTCCCCGGGCAACCAGCCCCCATCCAAAAATCACCTCATTAGCATAAACTCAGGTGTGGTGGAAAGGAGTTTGTTATGAATCTCAAGAGACAGTCATTCTACCTTTATGCTCTGAAGCTATTTCAGGACCTGAGGACAAAAACCTCACATTGTAACAAAGGATGCTTTCATTGCTCTAGTCAAAGAGGACATGGCAAGAATTTGGGGAGCTCTGTGCCAGCCCTGGGGAAGAAGAACAAACACATATTTCTGATTATAAATCACAATATCATCATAAATCATGGGAACTTCTGTGCGTTTCTCTTAGGAACACACAGTAAGTGATGACTGATCAGAGCTGCAGGACCTCGCATCTCAGTCTCATAATGTCTCAGAGCTTCACAGCGGGAAGGAGCACCGAGACCTTCACATCTTGCAATGTCTCAGGGAAGGAGACCAGGCTATTTCCCTTAGGAATGTATGTATCTATTTATTCATTTATTTCATGTGTTCCTTGAGCTCCTTCTATGTGTGAAGTGTCAAAGAGAAAAAAAAACTGGACACGTTAAAAATGGTGAGACAGATTTTATTCAGACTCCTGCAATAGGGGAGAGAGACGTCAGCTGAGACCAACTCCTCTGAAATGAAAGCAGGAGGCTTTTTAAATGCTGGGCTGTTCTAAAGGAAACTACAAAAGGACAGGAACGTTGGATGTGATTAGGCACCTCTGTTTGTGCCTGGCACTTGTGGAAGTTAAACTCCTACCCTTCCACAGAGACTGGGAGGCAGGGGTCCCGTCCTTGATGATGACATTTCAAAGGATGCCTCTTAGGTTCTCGAGAAAGACATTGATGGGTTATAAAACTGGCAGGAGGCTGGGAGAAGATTTATATCTCAAAGGTGCAGAGAAATAATTTACAATTGTAAGTTTTCTACATAAAAGCTCTACGAAAAGGAAGGTCAGGATCCTATGGCCAGGTTTTGACTGAAATAAATAGTTAATTCTTTCAGCACAGTTGATCGTTCTCGGGCAGGAACTTAAGGGGAAAGAGTTTCATCCTAGGAACACAGCCTTCAGCCGGCAGAAAGGGTGCTGGTGTCTGCAAGTCTCTTCGTGTGGAGCAGGACACGGACACGTGGGCTGAGGGGGTGATTCTCATAGGGCTGGTCGAGGAGAGGGCTTGTAGGAACCGGGCTACAGTTTGGTCAGAGAGAGAGGCTGAGTCACAGGAACTGTGGATGAAACAGGGAAGGAAACAAAAACCTTGTCTTTATACAGTTTATAATCCAGAGATGCTACCTCTTCATTCAAGTTGCATCATACACAAAATTAACTTATTCCAGGTCACCTGTGTCTGGGATGTGTGTGTGTGTGTGTGTGTGTGTGTGAGAGAGAGAGAGAGAGAGAGAGAGAGATTTGGGGAGAAAGAATAAGCTATTTATGTAGCTTTCATGAATCCGTTGGCCATTCCATTCAGCAAGTTTTTGCCTTCAAAACAAGTGGGAAATGAAAGCCCCAACTCCATTCTCTTCTGAGAGTCCCCTAACACTGTCAATGTCTGATCATCTCATTTGTCAATGCAAATAATCCATAATCGATCTATAATTGGGGGGAGTTTATTATGAGCCAGGTTTGAGGACTATAGCCAGGGGCCTTCCTTCTCCAAGGAAGGAGGGGCACCAAAGAAGTGGGGTGTACAGAGTGGTTATATACCATCTTGGTTTGAGGAGCATACGTCACATAGGACAGGAATGTCTCTTTTATTATTGTCATGAGATGCTTAGCTGGTACAGCTGGTCGGTGGCCAGCAGGTCAGGGGTCACAAGGTGAGCTCAGCAGGTCAGTAATTAATCTTTAGTTTCCAGGAAGAGATGCTTATCCTTAAAAAATGCCAATATGTGAGGGAATTACATCCCTAACTTTAAGGACATCATTCTTATCTTTGGGACATAGCAAATGTTTAAAGCAGACGTGCAATGCATGCTCAACAGGCCATGTCAGGCCCTTTTGGAAAAACAAGGTCAGGCTGAATCAGTTTTAAACCAAATGGCTTCCTCATACACTCCAATATATCCTATTGCTTGTCATTTGCTTATCACATTGTACTGCCTATGATTCTAGCATTTGAAGATTCATAACTTTTTATAATTTATCCCTTAATGGAAGACAACAGTTCTAATGCTGGAAGGATCATCCATGGACGGTTTACCAAGAGCCAGTGTGCTGGTCTTCAAAGTGGCCCTGGCCTTTATCAGCCTGAGCCCTCGGAGGAAAGGATGCCATCACAAAGAGTACAGTGAAATAAAATAACAACAGGTCTGCTTACAGAGACATGCGCAGGGTGAAGGGACCCACAGGGGATGTCCTGGCAACCTGGGACTAGAGATTGTAGATAGTCTTAATGATACTTAGGCCTTGGGGTGGGAAATGGATCTGTGAACCAAGTGCCTGGGAAGACACACGTTGTCCACGGGAGCTATGGCTGTACCAAGCCATTGCCAGAGTTCTCGTGAGGCAGGAAGGAAACAGGTGAGAGTGAATAACCCACCTCTCCTCTCTGGATGGGGCTTCTCATAAGTTGATCACAATAGCCGAATGTCCAGGCACAGGGCTGGCTTCTATGTGGATCCGCTCGTTCAGACAAGGCCGATAGTACTCAGCTATCCCATCTCACCATTGCGTGGATCTGATTTCCTCTTTGCTGTTTTCTTTCAGGCAAGCCTGCTCTGTGTGGAGGCACTTACATCCCATCAGCTTAAGAAGGGTGGAGGAGGGGAGAAAGAGAGATTAAACATCTTTTGGCAAAAGTCCAGGTTTGCATCTCACCAGCAGGGCTTGGGCACATGCCCATCTCTGTACAGTCCTCGTCACCACGTGGACAGAATCTGTCGACTGGCTGAGCCTGGGTCCTGTGTCCTTCCCTAGAGGTCTGAGTCCAGCTAACTGAATGTGTGGGGGCAGGAGTTCCCCACAATTCAGGATGCTGCCTGTAAAAGAAGGGGAAGGATGCTGTGTGGGCGAAAATACATGATGAGTATTCTGACTTGGCTCCATGTCCTGCACAGCGGCAAGTAGCTTAAGTCTCTGTGTCCATTCACGTAACGGATCCAGGTAATAACTGCTTATGAGAAACACAGGGAGACTGTTCATGGAGTCTTTTTTCTCCATTTGAATGAATTCCATCTGCTTTAGGACCTTCCTCAATGTGGCAATTGTTTCAATGACTGCCATGCCCCAAACAGGGGAACTTGGAACGGTATCCAGCAGATAGAGTATGCAATTATTCACATGTAGTATCGGATCAGTGAGCAAAGAAACTATTAAATGTCTTTCTCCTAATCTGTTTATGTTGAAGAGCCTGAATTAATCAGAGGCACTCTCATTTGAAACAACTGACTTCTTTTTCTAAAGGACCATCGCGGTTTTGAGGATGATGGACCCTGATGAATCTCAGCAAATCCATTTTAACGTCCTTTCTCCATCTATCTATTAAAGCACGCCATCCATCCAGTGGTCATCCTCCATCAGCAGAACATCGTATACATTCCAAAATTATGTGAGTTTTTCTATAAAACGGTTCAATAATCCAGATTGTCTTTGCTCCGTTGCCGTAAATTAGTCTTTTAATCTCAAAACTTCTCTAACTTTAAATGACTAATGTGTTCTCCTTCCTGGTATTGCTAGAGAAGTCAGGCAGTGATTTAGAACAGGGAAGCCAACATCATTTGTTCATGTTATTTATCACCAGTTGGAACCAATTAGATGGCTAGAATTCATCAGTAAACAATATTGTTAGTATGCATTGGGAGAAAATCTTAACCTGATTGAGCAAAAATCCTCTGTCCTTACTGCGCTTCCCCGCACCTTTCAGACTGGTGACATCAATTAAACTCAAGGTTCTCTCTGAACTAATGTCTGGGTTTCTTGGCCCCTTTCGTTTCAATCTGGATCAAAGGAAACTTCAGCCTTCCTTGATTGTTAACAATGGGATGGCAAACTCTCACAAAACGCAGACCCTTCCGATCAGCTGTTCCACATTTATTCTGCTTGGGGTTCTCAGCTGGGCCTCTGAGCAATATCTTTGAGGGTCCAGAAGGAAGAGGAGAATCAGTTCAAAGTAGTCACTTTCAGAAGGCCAGGAATAAGACAGAGTGAACTCTCGATATCCTCCGTCGCTCCATGCTGAGGAGGGAAGGATCGGTTCACCCCGACCACCAGACTTTCCTTATTTCTCTTCTCACCGAAGAGACATCCCAGGGAGTGTCTCTCAATTCCCCTTCCTTCCTTTCTCTTTTTTCCACAAGTATTGGCTGCACCTGTTCCACGTAATCTCTCCGCAGGGCACTGAGATCGGGGGATCAATCCAGGCCACTCCTGTGCCCTCAAGGACCCATGGCACTGGTAATGTGTAGTGAGCTCTCTTTCTGATGTTTACTTCCATTGCCTTATCTCTTAGTACATAACCAGTTCATGTGTCTTTAAGAAAATTTAGACCATTCACGTTTCATACGTTCACCCACATACAGTGCCGTGTCCTGCATTGTTCTTCCCTGCCTGTAGGAGGATCAGACATCCTCAGCTTCCTGAACTCAGTGTGTAAGTGCTCTGGTCTGTGACATGAGTAGGAATAACTCGTGTCGCTTCTGTGAGGAAGCTTTAAGAGATCAAGTGTGTCCTGTCACGTTCTCTTTGCTCTCTGGCACAATGACCAGCAATGCTCCAGGAAGTGGCTGCCCTGTCATCCTGGGTCCCAGAGAGAAAGAAAAAAATGTGAACTGAAACCTCAGCTGATTCACAATGGACATGCAATGTTAAGTCATAATTTTGCATCATAAGCTGTTAAGATTTGGGGAAAATTTGTGTACAGCAAAACCTAGCTTATCCTGACTAACAGAAAAGATGAACATACAGAAGAAGGGATGAGTGTAACACCTTGTCATATATTTCTAGACCTCTTCTCTCTCCCCTAACTGTGTGTTCTACCTCTATGACTTTATATACACACATACATGTTACATATATGTGCATTACATATGTGTATATGAATGCATATGTGTGTGTGTGTAAATCTAGCATACATACCTGTTGAGAGAGGAGTAGAGCTATGGATGTATGTGTAGGTGTAGTGTAGGTGTAGCTGGACCACAGGTAGGTGGGTAGATATGCAGAGAGGTATATAGGTAGACAGAGAGGGCTTGCTCAGTCTGCATCCTCAGGTTCCATCCACACATCTCAATCAATTCTTATTGAACAAACACATGAACACCGGGCTCCGGGCAGGGAGGCTGCTTATGCATTCAGGAGCATGAGCTCGCTCCAGGGAAGGGAAGATAGCCATGTCTTTCTTTCCTGCCGCATGGTCTGCTGACCCTGGAAACTTATTTGTGTTTGATGAATATTTATGAAAACTGCCACTTTAATTAAAATATAAAAGCCTCAAGCTAAATTAATTGGGCTGAGGGGAAAAAAAATCACAACCCACTTGCCTTTTAGAAGATAACAAATGAGGGGCAGAGGCTGCCTTTGTTCAGAGCCAAAGAAAATAATTCAGGAGTTAGAGATTCAGGGAAGGGATGCACCATGAAAGAATTTCTAAACCAAAGGACTTTGAAAACATGTTTTCCACCTGGGCTTGCTGACCTGACCCCAGGGAATAGGACGAACATCCTCACAGGTCATCCCTAAACAGCCTGCTGTCACCAAATGCCAAAGGGCTATGTCCCATTGGCACAGAGGGCACCACCTCTGCTTTCATTCAATTTCCTGACACCTCCAGGATGCAACAGGAGCCTCATTCCTTGACCCACAGTATTAAATCATTTCAATCTCAGCACAGACCACACCATTCACTGCCAACTTACCTCTCCAAACATTGGTTGTTGACGGGGAAATAAGATGCAAGGATTCCTAAAGGGTTGATAAAAAGGTGCTTCGGGGCAGTGCTGTTTTTCTCCAACCTCTTATGGTTGTTACGTTAACTTTCTTAAATCTTATTTCCTCACCGGAGTGCTTGACCAACTCTCTCTCCGCAAAGCAGCACAAAGCCCCTATGTCCTGGTGGTAAGGAGGGGACACCTGCCACACAGAGCTTCCTGTATTTCCCTCCTGGATCAGAGATCTGAGAAGGTAAGAGCAACCTCAGGGGCCCCTCTGTTTTCCGTTCAAATTTACATCTAAGGGTGGTGGGTTGGGTCCTCAGCACCTGGCTGACCAGAGGAAAGCAAATTCATCCTCATTCCACCCAGCCCCTCCCTTGCTATGCAACTCCCACCCCCCCACCCCCGCCCCTCTTCCTGCAGCATCATGGCGGGTGCTGGATGAGGATGGGGCACGGAGAACTGTGTCAAGGGCACTCCAGGTTTGCTCCTGGGGGCAGCACCATAGCCCGTTGGAACGGTCTCATCTCCCATTTCAGTGAAAGAGAGCCTCATATTTTGTGGCTCAGGACTTTATCTTTATTGAGTTTGAAGCTTCATGTTCATAGAAAATTCACCCTTTTGTTGTAACATTTGAGGATAATTAGAAGGCACTAAACTGAATGAATGAATCATCACAATATTTTTAATTAACTATTACCAGGTGGAGACACTTGAGAGGATTTTCATTATTTAGAGACACAAACGGGCAGAGATTTCAATTATGTCTAACAATATCTCCTGCTTTCGACATTAAAAAGCGCCATTGAGTTAAAAATGGGATTCACTCTATTGATGCGAATTTGAGAAGGATTCATTGACTTTTCATTCACTTTATTGTAATCAGTAGAAATTTATTGTTGGCAGTCAATTAAAAATATTGAAAGACTGAAACTTATGGATAAGAAAACCTAACCATGGTGGATAAATGTAAGTATTGCAATCATCAGAGGGAAAAAAGTAGCTTAAAAATTGAATGACAAGATAAATGAAAATATAGAGCCACATACAAACTGTGTATGAATGTTCATAGCAGTATTATTCACAATACCCCAAAAATGGAAACAATTCAAATGTCAGTCAAGAGATGAAAGGATAAACAAAATGTCATATGCCCACACAATGGAGTATTTTTTGGCAATAAAAAGGAGTGAAGCATGGACACACGCGACAGCATAGCTGAAGCTTGAAAACATGGTGATGCTGAGTGAAAGAAGCCAGTCCCAAAAGACCACATAGTGTACAATTCTATCTACATAAAATGTCCAGATTGGGCAATCCGGAGAGGTAGGAAGTAGGTTAGCGTTCGCCACAAAATGGGCCCAGGAGGGATTCAGGAGTGACTCCTAATGGGTACAAGGTTTTCTTTCGGGGTGATGAAAGTATTCTAAAATTAGATTGTGGTCTTGGTTGCACAACTTGATAAATATACTAAAAACTTTGAATTTTATTCTTTAATTTAGTGAATTGTATGGTATGTGCATTATATCTCAAGAAAGCCATTTAAAAATTGAGTGGAAGATGTCTAATTACTGACTCCCAAAAGGCTATGCATAACCTTAGAGAAACTCATTTCCTTTATTTATTTTTTTAGTAAAAAATGAATCCAATCATTTCTCTCTGTTCATATTCAAAATTAAAAGACGCTTTACTTAGCAGTGTATTTGGTACTGTCCGTGTGTATTTTAGTTCTTTCTCTCTCTCTCTCTCTCTGTATATATATTTTCTTTTCTTTTTTCCTCTTGGCAAGGATTCCCTTGATGAAGACACTATCAGAAGATACATTTCAGTGAAGCGGCCAAACAGACAAGAGTAATACTTCTTGCCTATGTTCTTTTTTCCATGACGTTGATATCGGCATTGCGGTGAGCACACCAGTGCATTTCCAACGGGTTGGAAATAAAGGAGACATTTCTACAGATGCTAATGTCTGAGTGTTAATGTCACAGCTTCCCTAAGCTATTTGTTTTTAGGTTCTCCTGAAAATGACCCAGCCATTTTAAAACTCTTCAAGGTTAAGAGCAACTTGCTTCTGAACTTTACAACAAAATTAAAATAACTTATTAATAATAGTAATAATAGCCTACACTTAAATAGCACGTAATATAAACCGTAGGCAGTTTCATAAATACTCATTTACTTCTCAAAATAACTCTATTAGTTTGATTCTATTATTATGCCTAGTTAAGTGGAGATAATTTGGTTTAAATTAATTTTAGAAAATTAAAAGTATTAAGTGTAATCGCCCTATTAACTTGACAAAAAGATTTTAAAATATAATTTGTTGTTTTTAACACTGCTTGTTAACTCAGTTAAATTTGGGATTATATTAGCGGGTTTTTTTAAACTGAATTTTCTTTTAGAGTACATCTGATAAATATAGGTTTTAGCACACAGATGTTGATTTTTTATCATTTAAAAAATGGCCTATCTACTCATTCAATCCAATAAGGATTTGTGTTTGCATCTCCTAATGTAATTTTCCATTGGCTGCTCTTTTCTCTGAAGGTCTCTAATCCACCCTGCTTAAGAAACTGTCTAATAAAAACTTCGCATAATTCCTTTCCATCTTCTGATTCTAGCTGCCCTTTCCTCCTTCTGTACCCACTCTACATGCAAACTCTGAGCCTGTTACTATCATTTCCCAGGTTTGTGACACTGGAGGGTCACATTACTTCTCAAAGGATTAGTGGGATGATAAATGATAATATAATTTGTGAAATGCCTCACTCCATGCCTGACACAGAGTAGGCACTCAGCTTTCTCCCCTTTGTGTTTCTGCTTGTAACATCCACTGGGCACTGGGACTTTGATTTTGCATGTTTTAGGCCGCTTAACTCGCGCAAACTCCCCCTCAACTCCCTAACCTCCCCCTATGAGGGAAGCTCCAACCACATCTCAGTTTCACGGATGAGGAGATTGAGGCTCAGGGTCAAACAATACTGAACTGAGAAATCAGAACTCAAACCCAGAACTGTCTCCTCAGCCCCAGGTTTTAACTACTAGGGCTCTTTTTCTTCCTCATGACCTACACATTGATGCTTGGGGCAGACCCTCTTGCTTGCACATTCAGCAGCCATGCCCTCTCTTCTTACCTGTCTGGAGGAGCTTTGCTCCCACTGCAGGGATGAGAGATGGGGAACAGCCGCTGAACGCTTTCCTGACTTCTTCTGCCGTAGGCTTGGCCACATAGCCCAATGACAGCCAGTGGGACCTGTGGAGACCAATTCAGAGAGTGAGACATGATAACGACACAGAGAGACACAAAAGGATCAGACCTCCCCCCACCCCAAACACACACACACACACGTACAGACACACGTACACACACACATACACACACAGTGCCTCTCTGATGGTTGCCATTGTTGTGTGAAGATGCCGTGGTCAAAGCGCAGAAACCTCCTTTCGGTCAGAACTGGGTAATTAGTAACAAGCAATCCTCTAATCTCAGGGACTTAAAATGGCATTTTCTCCATGTTGCACCACTTGTCCACTGCAAACGGGCTGGGGGTTCTGGTTCTCACTGACGCTCAGATTCAGCCTGCCGGAGTAGCCACCATGGCGAAGGCCGCGATGGTTGTTGCTGTCATTAGTTTTGCTGGTTTGTGCTGTTTTTATACCAGTGGGCAGAGAGAACCTCAGAACGTCTCCAACTAGCAAATCCACGCTCTGTCCCGGAGGCAGCACCTGTCTCTTCCACCCAACAGTCGTTAGAGAGAATCGGTCTTATGTCCCCATCCAACCCCAGAGGGATCAGATACAACCTTACTTGATGCTGGAGCAGGTGGAGGGCAGAGAATGCTTAGTGTACCAATTAGTAACGATCACAGAGTGACACACGGCTGACACACTGAGCAAGGAGGAGCGGGCAAAGATGAAGACCACTTTGTGGAGCCACCGAATCAGCCCTAAACTGCCAATTTCAGACCTGCTGTCAAGTAGGATAAAAAACCTGCTGTGAGTTGGGCTACCTCCCCTCAGGTCTCCCATGCCATGAGTGAGCGCATCCTGATGGGTCCAGCTCCAGGCCGGCAGGCTCAGCCGTCACCCTGTTCTGCTGCTGGGTCTCTTTGTCTGTAAAGCTTTTTCCCTGAAAGAAAACTCTTTGCTCCAGGTTGTTTCCATGTTCGACTTTGTGCGAGCTTCTCAGTCCACTCTTCAAAGAACTCGTGGGCTGGAAGGAGAATTGGTTTCTCGGAGACCCAAGGAAATAATGATGTGATGTGCAAAATGTATGTGTCACTGTTCTCTTCGAATGTAAGGAGAAAGCGAAAGATTCCAAAACCCTTGGCCAATCAAGTTTAATGAAGTGAAATAATGGAGTCATAGTTTTTCTCATAAATATACCATTGCGTTCCAACATTAAACTATGAATATGAACAGAAAGTAGGTAATAAATGAACATGAAAGTTTTTCTAGTCTTTTTCCCTGTGATACACTTAATTGACAAATTTCTTTGAGAGCGTTAAGATATTCCTAGATATTGACAAAACATTAATAAAATTAGACAAATATTGCCAATTTTCAAAATATCTCAAGGTACTTAAATACTTCTAGATAGATAGATGATAGATTACATATATATGTATAGCGTGCAGCTAGAGCACAGACCCGTGTGAGTCACAGCAGACTCAGTTCTCACCCTCTGGCTTCCTGTTGGTTTCGGTCTACAGGGAGAGTGAGGCTGGAGCATCTCAGTTCCCATAATGTGACTGTGACATTGTGATTTATAAGAAATATATATATGGTCATTCAGATGACCAAAATATATGTCTCATATATATTTGGTCTTCGTCCACAATTCCTGGCTCACAGCTCCTGAAACCCTTGAAATTTCCTGGGCATAGAAGCATCTTTTATTATAATATTTGGTCTCTTGTCCTCAACTCCTGAAATCACTTCAAAGCTATAAAGGTGAAATAAATGAGTATCTTGTTATTCATAACAAGCCACTTTCCACCATAATTGGGTTTATGTTAATAAGACGACTTTTGGAAAGCACCTAAGGATGGACACCGGTTGCCAGGGGAAACAACCAGGAATAAATGCCTGATTCCTGGGAGCAGAGGGGCTGGAGGTTGAATCAATCACCATGGTCAATGATTTAATCAATCGTGCCTATGTAATAAAGCCTCCATAAAAACCCAAAAGGAGGGAGTGCAGAGAGCTTCCAGGCTGGGGAAACCAGAAGGCTTCCACCTGCCACCGTGTTGGGCCCCAGACTCCATGAGGACAGGAAGTCCTTTGGAATCTCACCCTATGTATCTCTTCACGTGGCTGTCGATTCGTATTCTTTAATATCCTTTGTAATAAACCAGTAATCTAGTGAGTAAACTGGTTTCCTGAGTTCTGGGAGCCACTCTGGCAAGTTAATTGAACCCAAGGAGGGGTTGTGGGAACCTCTGGTTTATAGCCAGTTGGTCAGAAGCAAAGGTGACAACCTGGCATGTGACTGGCGTCTGAAAACTCTCTGCTTATTGGAACCAGAGACCAGAACCCTCAGCAACTCTCTCCACACAGCCCTCCCGTCCCCGCCTCTGTTCCAGTCTCAAAGCCCCCACTCGTAATTGTCCCAGAGTCTTGCCCTAACCTTAATGGTTTCTCTGACACCTTATCAATCATCTCCTTACTGAGCTATCTTCAAGTTTTCCTAATTTGTACCAGAGATTTCCTGTTTTTGCTGGAAAAATAATCTTGGCTTTTCATTTTTCTATTCCCCTCTCTTTACTGCAGCAGAGATATAAATGTTCAATTGCAAACCACCATGACATTCTGCTTTCCTCATAATGTAGCCTTGCAAAAGTCAAGTGCAAATCCTTATTTTCACCCTGTACTAAGTGTTCTAATTCCGTTTTTACATATTAATGAATCAGCTTTGTAAAGATGTGAAATATTCATCTGAATACTTACGAGTTCTGCATCAGTCAAAGCAATGCACATTTTACAATCCTCTAAAACATCCTTGAGGTTCTTAAAATCATTATTTGTAAGAGAGGAAAATATGTTCAAGCTGTAAATGGCTTTTCTCTAAGTTATTGAAACAAAGATTATTACGATCATAGAATGAAGTCAAAGAGTGCATGATATGGGGAATTTGAGGCTATTTCTGTGGGGGGAGCATATGATACAGCACCAAACATCTCTCTGAAGACTGTGGAGTACCTTGAGCTTTTCTCCAAGGATGCCTTTGCCTTCTAGCATCCTGAATCCTTTTGCAGGTTGCTAAATTAAGCCAGGATTCAAATAGGAATCCTTCCCCTAAATATTATGTGATTTGCAAACAAATCATTCAGTTTTAATTATGTAAATGATTGCCAACACTTTCCGGACCATTCATTCTCTGTCTGCTGCCAAGACTCAGTTCTTGTCCTTTAGAATGGCTACTGCTTTTCTTCTCTCCTCCCCTCTCTTCTCTGAGTCTATTTCATCACGCATTCTGTGTTCTACGTTATGCCTTAAATGCTTTGGTCTTATTTTCCTGACGTTTTGGAGATCTTTCCTGACATGCACTTTTTCCTTTTGAGGAGGCAAGACGGATGGTACTACGGAGAAACTCAGGAAGTCCTGCCCCGACCACTGATCGGCTGTGTGACTTGGGGCCAATTTCTGAGTTGTTGCGGGGCTTAGTGTCCATGTATATAAAATGAGGCACAATGACTAATTTACAGGATTTATAGGAAGATTAAGTGAAGCAAGTTCCAGTTAAACATGGAAGATTAACACGTACATTTATTTTCACTCCTTGTGAAAATAAATTTTATTTTCATTCCTTCACCAAAGGAAGGGAGGAGTTGACAGAGAGTGGACATATCAACACAGTTTTGTCAAAGCAAATACGGGAGGACGATAACTGAGTGTTGGTCCAGGAAAGGCAGTCTTGGTGCCTCCAGAGAAGGGCAGCGACAAGAGCTATTCTGCTCTAGAATCTCAAGAAAGGCCCAGAAGTAGAGATGCCAGTGCCTTGGGAGGTGGGGCCTAGAGATGGAGCAGACCAGGATGATGGGTTGTAAAATCTGAACGAGGACAGCCAGAGCCCACACCCCTCTGCCGTCCTCTGCTGATGGAATTCTGCTCTCCACTCCAGATGCGGGATGAGAGACGGACACGGGAGCTCGACTCTGGTGAATTTGTACTAACACGGACTCAAGACACCAAAGGAGGTGAGAGTTGAGGTGCTGAGCTCTAGTGTAGAAAAAGCGAAAGTCGATATAATAACAGGCACTATACATTATACACTGGACTCTTGGAACACTGGAAATGGCGTTTATGCCTCTTAAAATTAAATTGTAGTTGAAATTAATTAGACAGTCCTAAGAGAAGGGACCTACATATAGTGACATGTTGGGGTCCAAAGGCAAAACACTGCACTTTTCCTGCTGATGATCCAGCAGTAAAGACCACCTGTCAACAGGCCCCACTGAACATGACAGCAAGCGTTGCAGTGCATTACTTTTAAATATGAATGCTATCTGGGGCTTAGCAGAGACTTCTAACCTTAAAACACAGACTAAAACAACAAACAGAACAAAATAAATTCAGAGAAGGCAATAGAAAGGACAGAAAAAGATCCAATAATTCAATTAATATCAAAGAGCTATCAATATCGATAGTTGAGAAGGCATTCATCAAACAAAAATAGGATGTTAGCAAGATGAACAGAACATTCAGAATCTGACAAAATCTTGGCTGTTCCAACTCGAAGATGCAAAGACGAAGTTAGCATCTTCTCCACTTCTTATTGAAATCATCCAAACACACACACAAAAGAAGAATAAGAAACAAGAGTCAAACTTCATTTTTTGTAAAGTCAGAAAACAGGTAAATCTTCATTTCCTAAAAGAAGAAAGTGTTAAATGAAGCACTGAAGGTTAAGGAGACTTCGTGACACACAGGGAAGTAGAGAGACGATGCTGTGAAGGTAGATGTGGGGAAAAGCCAGGAGAAAGTCAGCTTCTTAAAGGTCAAGGAGCTCCCTGAATCTTAAATTCTAAATCCCTTGCTGTAACAATGGGAATGGGGTAGGTCCGACCATGATAGAAGATTTCCTGAAATGCACTGGGTTTCAAGGAGCCTCAGATTGCAGGCTGAGCGAAGAATCCCACAGGGGCTGCACTGTGACTCCACGGGAAAGAGGCTTGACATCGCGCAGCCCCCACAGCTGCCGAGATCTGTTTTCTGGGGAGAAGTCAAACTCCAGGTCTCATGGCCCACCTGGGACAGTCTTGGCCTCTCTTTACTATGAACTTTCTAGATATACTGTCCTACAGTAATTATGAAAAATCAAAAAATAAACAGTGTGGGAGCAATACGGAAATACTACTGGGACGAGACAGGGGCCGAGGGAGGTGGGGAGGAAGAGACAATATGAAGAATTCTCACCAAAAAAATATGACCAAATATTTCACTTTGCATTAAAAAATGCGCTAAGTTGAACAGTGGCTATTTTAAGTTAAACGTACCGAGGACAAATGTGAGGACTCCTGGCAAAGCAGAGGAGGCAGGGAGGAGGCGAACCTAGGAAGGAAGTGGGGAAAAATAAACTGACACAAGAACGACGTGAGCTAAACCTCAACTCACCCCAACGTTCTTTGCTCGGTGCTGAAGTTGCAGGAGCCTTTATTCCTGTTTCAGTGAGAGGCAGCCGGGCTGGGAGACGAGCGTGCGAACTGGGCCAGCAGGGGCCCCGGCTTAGATCTGGGCACTTCACAGCTGTGTGACCATCAGTTGTCTTCTCTGGAAACGGGCATCATAGTGATGCCAGCAGCACAGGATTAAGGAGAGGGTGAGATGAGGTCATCAGCGTAAGTGTGCTGTAGAACAAGGCCAGCGCAAAGGAAGGTTGTGGAAGTGTTTGCAAATAATTTCACATTTTTCTCTTAAGTGTTTTCCAGGAGACACACACACACACACACACACACACAATGAGTCGGTGTTAATATGTGAGTATTTATTTGGTAATTTAAAAGAAATGAAGTAAAGAAAGAGGGAGAGAGCCTGAAAACAAACAAAAGAGAAAGAAACAAAAGAAATCCGTTAAGAATAAACCGGAAATTAATGAAAATGTTCCCTTTGAGAGAGCGGTGAGAAGAGATAAAGACTTCTTTCAGAGTACCTAATTTTATAATCGGGAATTTATAGATGTACAAAATGAGGAGAAACTTAGGAACGATTGGTTTCAATCTTCTCTTTCCCACTTTCGTAGATCTGAAATTTTCCACAAGAAAAGGTTAAGATAAATGAACAAATAAATAACTTTCAAGGAATCTCCATTAGGTGTAGCCACAGCCTTTCTGATAATATAAACCACTTCAGAGCAATTATTATCCAGGCATTTACACCCACACATACACATGTACACGTACAAGGCACACACATGTAAGACACACACACATACACACACAGACACATGCATACACACATATACAGACACGCATACACACACACTCCTCTGGAAATATGTTTTCAGTTTTTATTTTCTGATCATGATCTAAAGTTTTCTTGGCACCCTGCACGATGCCCCTAACAGTATTTAGGTATTTTTCTGAAACTATCTGAATCGTTTATTGTCTACACTGAGGCACTGTGCTCTTGTTAATGGTGAAAGTTGACTTCCATTTTCTTTCTGTTCATGGTATGAGAGCCTCCTTCAGGTTGTTTCTCTCCCTTGATATTTTCAACTCAGAAGCACTTAGCCTCATCTGCAGATTTAGGCATTTCCCTGAAAAAAGCCCTCCTCCAGCCCCGTTATTGTAAACTATTAGATAACACCAGTCCAGAGGCAGGTCTGTTTGCAATCCATCACCCAGATGCTTTCCCTTTGCATCCTGCTAACAAATGAAGTATTTCCTGCTGACAAAGTGTTGTTCCTGATCTCAAGACTGTTAATGAATTAAGCACATTTAGGTGTCACTCATTGTCGGAGAGCTTTTGAATAAAAACTAAATTAATCAGCCACACTCACTGTATATTTTCTACATGCTCTTTTTCTGGAATAAATGAACAATTTGCTTGTGATATTTAATAAAAGCCAGCGTCACTTCATTAGTGTCTTATCATAAGTGGTGCCATCTGTCCCATCGATCAACATAGCAAGGGGCAGGGGGGAGGCTGGATGGATAGCTCACGGCCTTTCCTCGGATTGAGGAGGCCAATCACCTGGAAAGATGAGCGCCACGAGACGGCCTTGATCAATGTTTCCCGAGTGATTGAACGCATTTGGATGATGCATCTGTGCTTGGCTGTAATTTCAGACCTGCTTTCCCTGATGGCAATAAGTCATAAAGAATTCCAAGCTGATGTATGTCTGTTTCCGAGAACTGAGCACCTACTTCGTGTAAGGTACTGTGTTAGAAATTGTATATTCTTTCTGTCAATCAGTAGGGCAGCACTGATGGTTTGCAGTCCGTACAGTTGAAGGCCTGGCGATTCAAGAAGTTTGGAGCTTGTCTTAGAGTCACACAGCGACCTAAGAGCTGGGATTGGAATCCAAGACTCTCTGATGATGACGTCTTTGCTCTTTTTCCATGTTACTGCCATCATCTAATTCCTGCAGAGGTTGGGGGTCGCTGGTGCTGTGAAATGCAAGATGCTGTCATCTGTGGAGGGACACTTGTATTGTTTCCATTTCTTGGCTATTGACATATCCACACCATGGAATATTATTCAGCCTTAAAAAGAAGGAAATCCTACCATTTGTGACATCATGACTTTGCCAAGGCAAGATTTTATTTTGAAAGTTATTTGAAAGACTGAGAAAGGAAGGCAACCTAAGATTCAACAGGTGTAGATTCCAGACTCATATTCTTTCCAACCCCTACCAATGGCCTTTGTCATGCCAATAAGTTGCTTTCTTTTGTAATTCCTATTTTTACCTTCCTGGAGAAAGGATCTTTTCCTGTAAGCCATCATCATTTTTTTTTTTTTTTGGTAGAGTAGAGCTTTATTTCCAAAACTGGTAAACAGCTGACCATTCATACTTAGGTAGGTAGTAACTAAAGGGATATATGTTTTTTTGTAATTACTGATTACAGTTTTTAGCTGTTCCCCCGCCCATTGTTAACAGTAGTGCTTCAGCAATATGCTATCTGACTCCCACTAAGTTCCTACAGACAGCATCTCCCTGGCCACTGGGTCACCATGGTAACGGATGTTTTAGCTGTTTTTCAGGAATTAGGACCCCTTGTCCAATTCAGGCCAGTAGAGACCACCAAGCCATCCACTGGGCCCATGCATATGTTTGACAAGTGAACTTTTTGACATCAAGAGGCTAAAAACTCCACGCTCAGATTGTGCCAACGCCGCCATTTTGTGAACATGCGTCCTGTGAAGAGGCGTGAAGTCCGACCTTGCTTGTGCAGACCATCAGTTACCTCGCCTCTCCCCACCTCCAATCACCTCTCTGCACATTTCAGACCACCTTGCCCCATAGATATCCCTGAGTCCCCACTTTCGAGGAGGTGAATTTGAGAATGAGTCTCAAATCCGTCTCCTCATTTGGCTGCCTGGTGACTGAAACCCTCTCTCTGATGCAATCTTGTCATCTCAGTGATTGGTTTTCTGGGTGACGGCAAAAAAAGGACGTGGTTCAGGAACACTTCCAGGAAACAGCGGTAAGTAGGAGATGGGCATTTTTTAAAAAAACCATCAAGGTAGATCTAACATGTTCAACAAAGTGTCAGGGGCTCAGCCAGAGGGGAGGAGCAAAGGTTCTTTAGCATTTGCTTGTCAACTTGTGGTAACTGGAAATCCAAACGTGGGAACGTCACCCAGGGGTGCAGTCCCTTGGAGAGACAGAGACAGAGAGAGTCAGGGGTGTGGCTGTTAGGGGGAAATGGAGCAACCAGAATCTCGTCCCACCATGCACAAAGCCTCTTTGGTCACATCTGGCCAAATTTGGGCTGATTGTTCATGAAGTCAGCTTCTCCGCTGGGGGGGGACAAAGAAATTACAGCTGCAGCTAGAGGAGAGGAAGCTTTCTCTGAAGAGAAGCTGCTGCCCAGTGATCAGGGTCCTTGTGTTGTTGTTGTGGTTGTTGAAAACTGGGGAATCAGCACTAGGGCTTAGCTTTGCCGGTGTCCAGCTGGGCGGAACGTCAGCACGGAGAAGAGAAGTTTGCCGTCTGCAGCCTCTCCTGAGCTGGCACACCTGGAGGATGCTCCATGAGGGAGGGGGCACCCGTCTTCTTGAGCCTGGCAGCCCTCGGCTTGGCTTTCTCTATAAATTTGGGAAGCGTCACAGGCCTAAGAGACTCATGGGTGTATCTTTGTTTTACAGAATCATTTGTGTTTGTGTAATAAAGTCAGTGAGCACCACTGATTTGAAAGTAAAGTATCACACCTATAAAGTGAATCCGCCTAACCCTGGAATTTTTGTTTATTTGGGTTTTTTTTCTTGATTTGGTCTATTTAGTGCTTCACCACCCTGCCTCCATCTCAGGAACTTTAAGAAGTGCCGATGCCCAGAATCTACCCCCTAGAAACAGTGACTTGCTCTCTGGAATGAGACCCAGCCATAAGCACTGTTAAAACAACACTAACTAACCAACAAAAACTTCTCCGATGATTCCAACGTGCCGCCAGAGACGAGGGTCGCAGACTAACTGTTGAAATATTTGCAATGCGAGATTTGTTGTTTGGATTAGAATATACGTCAGGGCAGCCTTGTGCCCCAACAGTCTATTGAGGATTTCTCCCATGATAAAATGTGACGACAATGACAGAAATCTTGAGGAAGGAAGTAAACAAACAAACCTCAAGGTACACTGTGCAGAGGTCATTTGTTACAGCCGTCAGCCCACAGCCCACCTGTGTTATGACAAGTGGCTGTGGTCGCACAACTTCTCATGTCCTTCACAGTTGGGAGCTGGGGGTTTATGCTGTTGATGATAAAGGATGGCTTTAAGATACTCCCATGGCACAGGAGCGTGAGTTATGGCCCTGGGTTCAGTTTAACTGTGGAAAAAATAAGGCAGATGAGGTGATTTGCAGGGAGCTCTGCTATTCCCAATGTGCAGAAATTCTCCACCTTAGTCTTCTGACCTGGTACACGGCTGATGTGCAGAAATTTAGGTTGTTGTTATGGTGTTTGAGAAAAAATGCCGAGGCATTTAAAATATCCATCGAATGATGTTGATGACTGGCAAGCCTGTCGATGCCTGTGAGTCACGCATTTGGCTTCATGGGAGCTGGGTGCCAGGACACAAGAACTCACCCTTCTTGCCCACTCATAGTTTACTTGGAGTGAACAATAATCCAATAATCCAAATTTATCTGGAAAGAAAAGATTTCCCAGATCCAGGATTTCCAGTACTAAGTCCACGCCATTCACAGGCAAATCAGGACAGTTGTTCACCCTAATTCTGGAAATCACTGACTTCAACAGGTAACCCCTCCGATGCCCGTGACTTACCCCCTACAAGGCATGTGTTCATTGCACCTGAACCTGGGAGTTGAAACTCCAAGGGAGGGGAGCCTGCGCAGAGCATTCAGAGTGTGTCCAGTTGATGCAAAACATCTCCCTCCTTCCTCTGTACATTTTCACTCGTGAGTCCATTAATTAACCCTCTAAGATCCTACTCAGACCAGAAGAGTCTGTGCCGTGTGTTTTAAAACTGACAGAGAAGGGTTGCTGTGGACTCAGAGTCTGGTTTAATAGAAGTTTTGATGAATGCACCACAGAAACATTCTCTGATTCTTCGATAAGACAGATGAAGAGGGACCTTTAGTTAGGAGTTTCAGCCTTTGGTTTCTTGTCCAGTAGCTTTGAACTTCTGCGTAGGACGTTAACTTCTTAAGATAACTGTTAGAAAAAGCTATTAATCAACTAAGCTAAGTTGATCAACATTACCTCCATCCTGTATCCTTTCCATCCATACCAAATATCATATCCACTGAACTGAGAGAGCGCCATTCTACTAACAGAGTCTTGGTAGCACAGAAGGGAAAAGTCATGGAAGCATTTTTATAGGATTTTATGGCCTAGGCTGGGCGATTTTAAGGTGAGTCTTAGATGGCAGCAAGC